TCCTGGGGGACCTGCTGTGGGTGATCCTGCTCTGGCAGGGGGGCTGGACTGGATGATCTTTTGAGGTCCCTTCCAACCCCTGACGTTCTGTGATTTGGTGATACTTCAAATCTACACCAGTGATGATGTTTCCTTATTAATGATGTATAAATAAATATTAATGATGTGTAAATAAAACATGCCCTCTGTGCAGCTGAGCTCTCTGCAGCTGTTTTGGTGCATTATTATTCACAAGTAGAATTTATTATTCACAAGTAGAAAGCATGGAACAGGAAACAACCTGAATCCATCCCTCTGACCTAACCACCACAACTGATCTAAAATGGGAACCAAGATTCATTTGTAGCAGGAACCTCTCACAACATCAGCAGATTGATCGTGAAACACCTTGCATAAAAATTCAATACTAGGGAGGTCGAACATAATATCCACAGATCGTACGTGAACTGGACCATATTCTTACTTTGAACTAGAATGAAAGCAGGTGATAATTATTTTTACTATTTCTGTTTGTTCATTCTCGCTGTTAATAACAGTGTAAACCCCTATATTTTAATAAGGTAAGGAAGACAGCCTTTACCTGTCTTTGTAATTTCATGATTTCAAATTCTGGCACTGCCTTTAATGAAATCTGACCGGAACCGACTACCTAGGAAATGTGTAAGTAAACCTGAATGGACAAAAAATTGTTAGCAGATAATCATTAGGTAATGACCCGTGGCTCATGTCTGATGTGGTGCCTCGATGGAGAAACTTACTGAAAATGACAATTGGTTGTTTTTAAATGGACTCAGAAGAATTCAAACCAGTATTTCGTTTGCTCTGAGCTGAGTACTGGTGCAGTTACAGATAATATTGACAGGGTTCAATACCGGTTTGTATGTATGTAGTAGTAGTTCACCTTTTATTATTTCCTTATTCATTAAAGCTGTTCTAATTTATTTTTTATCCAATCTGTAAGTCTCTCTGCTGCGTTCCCCTTTCCTTCCTGTTTGGGGAGAGAGAGAGGGTTCAGTGGCTGGCTCAGCCCTAACCTGCAATACCTGCATCAACTGCTAAGAAATATTCAGAGCAGCGAACAGAAACCCCTCATCACCGTACGTCATAGTGCAGAAGAAATACACCGTGTTTGGAAGAGAGTAAAGAAAGAATGTGACCATTAGTGAGATGTTCTCTTTGGGTGGTCGCCAACAGCCACCACAATCTTTTAATTTCCTGCTCCATCCCATAGTAGTCTCCGGAACAGGCCTTAATTGACTTTGAGTTGTTGTGTTAAAACATTTCATAGAAAAACTATGATGAAGGTGATTTTGCAGGTGTTCTGCTAATTGGCCCTGGGCAGGGGGCAAGGTCCTGCAGAAAAGGACACAGGCCCCAACAGAAGGGTCGGCTCATTGTACTGTCTGTCTCAAAGGATTACAAGAACGAGGCAATGCAGGCTGATCATCCTGGCATTTTAAGCAGCACCTAATCATTACTACATAGGGTCAGTAATAGTTATCAAGAAAGATCCATCACCGATCGCCCCAATATCATCATTCAGGCCCGCAGTCACTGGGGAGCCCTTGTTGCAGCGAGGATCCTGGAGCACCATCCCGGCAACTGGGAAGTCCTACGCAGCGCGTCCACTCGTAGGCGAGGTCTCCAAAGTCGCTGCAAGAGAGTCCAGCTTTGATACTATTAAATAAGCAACCTCACAGAACTTCGAACATGGGAACATCGGGTGTTGTTCGCTCCGTTGGATTCCTCCCACAGCCTGGCCAGGGCTAACGGAAAAATACAAAGGAGTCTCCCTATCTCTTTTGGTCCTAAATCGCGTATTTTTCACCCAGGCCAGGCCTCTGCTCTCACGGTCTTGTAACATGCTTCTAACAATGCAAGAGGCAGCTCGTTTCCCCAGCCTTACACCTGCCTTTTAGCTAAAGGAAGATCAACCTGCTGGTTCCCACCGCACTTTTAGTCTTAGAGCAAAGCTTTTACAGATTGGCATTGGAATATATATATATGTGCTAAAATAGCTTACCAATACATTACATATGTGATTAATACTATATAGTGTGGGGTTGTGAGGTTCACCTATAGGCCAACTTCAGTTCAGGGCCTAGGATTCAGGCCCTAGCACTACAGCAGGTTCTTACCATTAACTTTAAAGGCCGTGCTACAAGCACCGTCGGAAAAACAGGAGATGCGCACCGCAGATGTACCTCGTACTTGCAGACCACCGCAGATTCTTTTGAGCCTTTACAGCAGAAAGGCTGATCGCAGTGAATCGGTGGCCGGTGACTATTCCCTGAGAGAGATAAAAGCCCTACAGCACATAGCCAGGTGGGAATCTAAAGCATCCTTTTTTCGTGAACGGTTGCAAAGACCACAACTGGGTGGAGGAAAAGATATTCTGCCTCATCTTTGGTCCAGTTGTTGATATAGGCTGCTGCAGCTTTTGCATTTTTTAGAGAACTGTGCCTTTTTTTTACTCACTGGCAGCTTTATTCACTTGACTAGAAACGCAGGTGACCGACACCTACATACATTTCCTCAAGCCTATATACAGCCAAGATTGCCTCACCCTGCCTGACCCAAGTGAAATACTTCTGTTCAAGGCAGAATGAACGGATAGGGAGCAGAACAAAGGGATGGAAAAGGGAAAAAAAAAGAGTAATGGACTGCAGGACAGAGAAGAAGGAATTAAATAACAGACATAGGGAGCATGACAACAACAGAGAGAAAGAGAGCAGGACAGCACATGCTATTTGCTAGCCGAGGTTGTTCCCCTGTTACTACAGCGCCCACTATAAATCATGTTCTTGTAAGCCGTGCTGCCTTTGTGCTTCTGCTGGACTGATGCCGGTGGATGACAAAACACATCACAGTCAGGGCTCAAGAAAGCTGGGAGCTGAAACGGCTCTGAGAATCTTGCTGCAGAGCTGCTCTTGTGACCTCGCGTGTTTCATCACCATGGACACGCGCGGCTTACAAACCTGCTGCTCCTCAGAGATCACCGTCCGGCCAACAGCAAATGCTCTCCAGTAAACCAGGAACAGCAAGCCAGAAGCGTACGTCTGGAAAATCTGTGAAGACCAGAGGAGCAGGAAAGGTCAGTGCTTTTTTAAAAACCCCCACATTTTGTGTAATACCAACTTTAGCAAGGCCTTTGTTCTCTGTGCAAATTTAGTCATTTCTCTGACATTCATAAAGCTCTACCATTATGTTCTCCCGAAAACCACACAACTAGTATTGAACTGAGTTAGTTCTACCACTTGTCTGTTGGGACACCCTTCTAGCTCTGCACGTCTGTTTCCCAAAATGCAGCTGCGCTGATTTTGGTGCAGATTCTGCTGTCTCCCTATACCCACTCCACTTCTGATGCTGCTGCCACACTCCCAGCTTGGAACCTGTTCTTCTACCACTATGACAGGTGATTTTAGTACATTTATTCTATTTTATTCGCCCATCTACTTGAATTTTGCTTATTTTCTTTACAAAGGGCCACCAGCTGTATTGAGATGATACAGCAACTTCTAGTTACAAATGTTCATTAAAACCATCAAACTTGTCACATTTTGCAGTTCTAAATCCTTAATTGCATTGTTCTCTTTTGAAGTAGTTTAGAAATTCAGCACACAAAGTAGTACTCACTCCTTTATTTTCCTATTACGTCTGCAAGAATCATTAATACTGATGCATTTTCCTTCCTTTAGTATTTGTTGTGGACTTAGCTGCCTCTTATATTGCAGGGATCTCAGCAAATTTAAGACATCATGTTGCATGTTAAAAGAAAACCTGAAGCTCCTCCTGAAAGTAATGCTTTAAAAAAATTGGCAAATTCTGAACTTAGGATTTTAGGCACAGTGCTCAGAGTCTGAATATATATTCAGATAATTGTATTAGGACTTACTATTATTTCTACAATTCCCTGCCTTGTTCAAATCACAAAAGATAATGTCTGATTATTAGACATCCCTTTCCTATGATGTATTATATTTTAATAACTTGCTATACACAGAAGATGGGTTTTTAAAAGCAATATATAGGGCATCAACCATCATTCCATCACCTTCACCTGGTACCTCACAAATGTTACAAAACATGTCTTCTAAGGTATTTCTCCAATTCAGGAAGCGTTTAGCTAAACCTACCAGTGCGAGCCTGCACCACACAGACAAGGCCAACAAAACCAACACTCTGAACGTAGAGGAAAAAGCACAGATTTCAGATTTTCAGAGGTAATTTTGTGGTGAGTGTTGGGCACAGACTGCCTGGTCAGGAGGAAGCAGAGAGGTTTCTGGGGGGCACCGATGGCGCAGTGCTGGCACAGGACATCAGGGACCTGGCAAGAAGAGGTGCTCTCCTGCACCTGATACTCGTGGACAAGGAGGTTCTGGTTTGGGACGGGAAAGCTGGGCACAGTCCTGGCAACGGCAACCACAAGATGACGGAGTTCAGGATCCTGAGGAAACGGAACAATGCAAATAGTAGGGTCATCATCCCAGACTTCAGGAGAGTAAATTCTGAGCCACGGGACATGATCCTGGAGAGGAGTCCAGGAGAACAGGCTCGTTTTCAAGCAGCACATCCTCCGCTCTCCGGAATGGTCCATCCTTATTGGATGGAAGTCAAACAGCGGTGGCAGAAGGCCTGCGCCAAAGGCAAAAATGCTCCTTACAAAACTCAAATGTAAAAATGAAGCAGACAAGAGGTGGAAGCAGGACCATGCAGTGCAGGAGAAAAAAAAAGATACTGTCTGGGTGTGCAGGAATGGTGTTAAGAAAACCAAAGCCCATCCTGAATTGAGTATAGGAAGGGATGGGAATGGCAACAACGTCTTCTACAGGTATACAAGCAGCAAAAAGATGACTAGGGAAACCTGGCCTCTTAGCTGAAAGGAGCAGCGGGCCTAGTGACAAAAGGATGCTAAAAAGACGGAGCTACTCAGTGCATTGTTTGCATTGGTCTTGTCGTGGTTTGACCCTGGCCGACAGCCAGGTACCCACACAGCCACTCTCTCACTCCCCCTTCTCCAC